AGTTGCAATTGCCGCGAAAAGTTTTGTGCATTTTCTTCGCAAGGGGCGGGGAAAATGTCAAGGCAAATGCGGTAATGCAGGTGAATGTGAATGGGCGTGGCGGCGAAGAAAACTTACCTTAACCGATTAAGATAATTCTCGAAAAGTTTCCAAGCGATCGATAGAAAAAGGCATTTCCTTTCGAGCAAATGCAAGTTTGAAAGTTTCTGCACAAGATACTCGTATGTACGAGTATCTAGGGGTAGGGCAAATGCTATAGGGTTGCAGAACGTTCCAAGTGGTCTGCCGCCCATCTCGAACCCATTAAAGACGCCTCGGGAGCAGCTCTTTAGCTTCCTTATGGCTATGCGAGTCTGGCCAGATCAAGTGCCAGACATTTTATTGCCCAGACGCAGCATGAACAATCGTATATAGGAGCTATATGCAGACAGCCGTGGACTCATCTGAAAATGGAAATGTTGCATATTGGCGCGCTGTCCAACAAATTTAGCAAGATTTCCTGCCCCCTGCGCTCACTTCAACATGATTTTCCTTTTCTACCAACAAAACTTTTCAATTGGACCGCACGCATTTTCAAAATGGGGAACTAAAGTTGGCGATGGCATCATAGTGAAATAAAAGTCTCTAGAATTAGTTACTAAATGCCCTTAATTTCACATAGGCAGTCGGATTTCTACCGTTCAGCTTGGTATCCAAGCCAAGTCAAGCCATTTGACCCTCGATATTTTTTAAAGTGTATCAAAGAAAAGTTTCCCTAGAAGAAACGAAGCCGAAAAGAGTTGAGAAGTTAAAGAGTCAAAAGAAATTAAAGCATTAATTTAACGCCAGCTTTGCTTGGCTTTTTGTGCTGCTCTGGTAATTGTTACCTTAGTACCTTTAATAGCTGAGTGTTTGCGAGTGCGTAGACACACAATGCACTCGAGGAAGTTGCGCTATTGTTTTGGCCATCATTAAAACACAATTTGGTATCGGGCTTTAGGGCCAAACTCCAATTTAAGCCCCATATGCGGGCCGTGTTGGATCTTTTCCCCATTACGTTGGACCTACGAAAGGCATTTAAAAGCGAAAAGCGAAAGTGTTTGCCATATCCATTGCATTCGTTCTACAGAGTTTGGGGTTTTCGTGGGTTCAACGGGCGCCAGTGGAAATGGAGATTGATTAAAAGATTTACCTCGGCCGACGATGATGCATTTCCCTTGATAATTTCCCCGATTCGGCAATTTGCAGCTGGCCCCTGAGGCCGCTGCTAATGCCTTAATAATATGATAAACTGGCCCAGCCAAAAAAGAGATTAATTTTCAAGACATTTCCCAGCAGCAGCAGTCGAAGCATCGGGAAAGCCGGCAAGTGAGTTGTTAGCCCAAACTAAACGTGGCATGTGGCAAGGGGAATTTTGAATGTTAAACGCTGAATGGGGCATGGCCAAGTTTCCAGAGCACCAACTAGCCAGGGAGCCAGGGAGCACGGATGGCTTAGCCTACTGGTAACCGCTCACCTTTCTGACCGAAAGTCGCTTTTTGATGGCTTTCAGCTCACCGTGTGTTTGAATTCCTCTACTATTTCCCCGTCTCAACTACTCCACTTACTCTTTTTTTTTGTTGTGTGTTTGCTGGCTGCGGTTGTTTGCAGTGCACGTTTTCCTAATTGCTCCACTTAATCTCCGCTTTTAAGACTTTTTGGTGGTCAGTCAATGGCCCGCAGAGAAAACTAAATACTATTCATATGTGGAAATGTACGCAGGGGCAGTGCTCCTTTGTTTCTGTTCGCCATTTGGCCATTTGGCTGGAGATAAGTATAAGTGAAAGATAAAAGAAATATGTTTGCATTGAGTGATTTCGTGGGTCGTGAGTGTCCCGCTAAACAAACCTAATCAAAACTGATAGGTATTTATATTTATAAATGCATTTATTGGCTGTCTGCTCATTAAGAGAAGTTTATCTTTGCATTCCCCCTGGGGCTCATAACAATAGCTTTCGCTTCCCATAACACCAGCTATGTCCTGACCAAATCCCAAATCCAATCATATGCGCCTCGGGCTTTTCACTCACCTTCTCACGATCGTTGAAGGCTCTGAATTATTGCACCTGTAACTCCAGTAGCTGTGCTTACAGCTCCAAAAAATGAGCGTGAGCAATAAAAGTGAGTGCAAGTGTAAAGTTTTTAATTAACGAAAGTTGGCCATAAATATGGCTTGGAAAATGCATTTCCGAATGTCACAGATTATTTCCATATGTTGGACACGTACGTATGGATTATCCATCATGGTAAATATGCAGGGCTCCGGCAGCCGGAAATTTCACTTTGTGAAGTGAAATTATTTATTGGCTTAAATATTCGCAGTATGTGCCGAAGAAATGTCTGGTTTATAATCATTAGGGTTTGCCGCCGCGTCACTTCAATTGTCGGTTACCGCTGCCGCTGCTTCTGCCGCTGCTGCTGCCGCTGCCCACGTACAGATACTCGTACTTGTACTTGCAATCCATCCCTACTTTAATGCCTTATGATGTTTTAACTACCTCCAAGTCGTCCACATCACAGACCGCCACCACGTCCACATGGAGTCGAAAAAAGGGGGCGTGGGTGGTTGTTGGGAGAATGGGAAGGGGCAGACTTCGATTGAGATTAGGCACACACACACGCAGTCACTGTGGTTACCCGTACTTGTGATTTTAGCACCCTATTTCTCCGTCTCACTTAACAAAAAGCTAATAATATATTTTAATGTACTTTGGGGAAAGCCTGTTTAAGTGTAAATGAATGCGAAATAGGTAAGAGGCGTATTTATGGAAAGTGGAAATGTAAAACGATAAAACAGCCGGGCGCTCATTCTTAGCCAGGGATCACTGTACTCGAAATAAAGTGAGTGCCGACTGCGTCGAGTTCCATGGCACTTCTCCTGGGGAAACATCAGGCGACACTTAACTATTAAGCAAGAGCTGCGAGAAGTCGGCGAAGGAGACGGAGCTCTCCTATTTTTAACCGCATGGAGTGGGCTTGTGCCCCACAGTCCCCATTCCAAGTCATTCCCCCTTCATTATTCCATCCCTGGACATGTTAGTGTTGCCAATTTTTTCAGGAGAAATTGCAAATTTGGGTGCGTTGAGGCAGGAAGGGAATCAAAAATACATCCTGCACATTCTGTAAAAATGGGATTTTAGAAATATCTCAATAGTTATGTATATATATGTTATATATATTCAGATTTAAGAACATTGCATAAAATGGTTCTTAATAAAATTAATAATAATTTTAATTGTTTCATTGCCATCTTTTATTTTTTGCAATATTTCTCGCAGTAGTGATTTGAATAAAATGCCAGTTGGAGGAAAACTAGCTGAACTGTCAACTCTGGTGCAAGTACATAACGCCTATGCTTTTACTTGCACACAGCGACCGGCAAAAGGGGGCAAGTGGCATGTTGGTGTCAGGTTGCCGCATGTGCACCACTCCGCCAAAGGCCCGCACCACCCATCGCAACCCGTGCACCGCTCAGTGGGTCGCAAGTCCCACGACCCACCGATGGTAAAATAGCAAAACGGCTAGAAGCAGCGAGGCAAAGGCAGCGGCTGCGGCTACGACGGCCAGTCAACTTTTGGCTCGGCTAAACAAAAGTGTCTTCGCAAGCTAAAAATAACCACTGTTTTGGCCCAGCTGCCTCCACGCCCCCCTCCCCCCATCACCCCTAATTTTCCTTGCTCCGACTTTGTGGCTCCATGGCCCGATCCTCTTAGTCGCTATCTTGCGCTTCCTGTTCTGTGTGCAAATCTGTGCCAAATGTTTTCCAAGAAAACGCAGTATGCAAATACATATTGCATTTAAATTCTTGTTGCAGCAGCAGCAGTGGCAGTGCAGCAGCAGAAAGTGCGGCAAATAGAGGAAAATCGGCAAAAGGGGCGGCCTCATTAGTGGCAAGACACTTGAAATTAGAGTTTGCTGCTGCTGCTACTTCTGTTGGCCCCAACTGAACTGAACGCTTGGCGATGATGAAAGTGATTTATGTCCGGCAAAGGCAATGTGCCACAGCTCCCCGAAAACACGAGACCCGATGTCTGGCTTGGCAGCAGCTTCATCTTGGCCAGGAAACATGTTTGTGAGCTGCTACCGCCTTGCAGCAGTGCTGTCCACACCCTGTAATCAAAGATAAGAAGCTTGTTGGAAATAGGGGCTAAGTTCATAATGTTTATGTGCAAATCGTAATGGATATGAGCTTTTCTTTCCCCATTAAACTGTGATTTATTAGTGGTGTTAGGACATAAATGCTTATTAAGTTACCATAGGGCTGATAAGAATTGAGTATTTTTACAATCATTCAATAAAGTTTAAATATGATTGTTGCGATAGGTGACTTTGTGTTCAAAACTTGGTATGCACTTGACTTTTTTTAAGAGAAACTAGTTTCAAAAACCTAAGAAGAAGAAGAAGAAGATGAAGAAGCTGAGAAAAGAAACAATTGCATAGGAACCCTGAAGTGCACTAGACCTGAACTATTTTTTCGCTTTTCTAGCGCTTTTTGCAATGGCACGGCATAACTGAAGCATATCTGCGCACACTTCTCGCCGGTGGGGCACATAAAATGAAATAAGTGAATGCAGAATGTTAATCCCGCAAGTGTCTTAAACACGGCTTAAGTATATGTTTTATTTTCGCTTCAGTTCCTTGCGTATTTTTAAACTTTTAAACTTTTTTTGTGACCTACAAGCGGCTGAGTGCCGAACTCACCACGAGTTGGGTTCTGCCCCGCCAGTGTGAGAGAGCAAGGAAGAGAGCGGGCTCCAACTCCAATCAGCATCAGCTGTAGTTTGTTTTTGTTTTGATGCGCCACATGGCTGGCGCTCGCTCTTTCACGCTCGCGCTCTCATCGCGTGCAGCTTTTGCGCTCTGAGTGAGTTGGGTTTCAGTCGTTGTTTTTGGATCGATAAAACTTCTCGCGCTGCCGTGGTATAAAATGCTTTTCACTTTTCCCACTGCACTTTAGTCGCCAGACATTTATCGAAACGTGCACATCACCAGCGGTCGCACACTCAAACATCTGTATTGCATATATATTGCTATCCCAACAAAATATCCTTCGAACCGAAAAAACCCACGCGAGTGCAAATCAAAAGTTGTTCAGCTTTCTTTGTGAGTGAAGTGTTTTGGGAATTGTTTTCGGGAGTTGGTTGGGAAAATGTTGCAAGATATCCTGACTTAACCAACTAAAGGAATTTTCTCCGTATTCCGTCCGCTCTGATTTACCCCTAACTCTTTTCTATTTTCACCCGGGATGCTCCTTGCATTCTCTCACAGTTGAGGGTTTATTGATTTTACGCACATGCAGCATCCCTATCTATGAGTCATCAGCCATCCTGCAACATTTTCCCCACGTGCCTAATCTCCGCTTTTCCCCACATCCGCGTGCGCTTAGATTTTTCCAGTGCGAAAAGTATAGCAATTGCATCCATCCAACAGAGAGATTATCCTTTCGCCAAACAAACAAACATAAACAGAAATGGCCGCCTACGCTGCTTTCAAACACGTTGAGCTTTACAATGTTGGCAAAGCCAAGAAGAGGTAAGAAATTCCCAAGGGATACACTAAAACTGACATTTTTAAAGACTTCAGAAAAAAGAATTTGCATGTCATAAAGGTAATCGATAAATTTGTTTTCCGGATTTATTACTCATTTTAACAATGAAAATGGAGTTAATTAGTTATTGTCAATGCATATCCCCATGCAAAAATAAAGTGTCCTTTGTTAATATGTGCCTTTGTTAAAAATCATCTCCTGAGGTTTTAAAAGGGGTTAAATTGCATTACGCACTAAAGAAAAATCAAACAAAGAGAATCGTATGGCTGTTGAATTCAGCCAATCGATATTATTAATGTTTATTCAAAATGAGTCCCACCAATTATGATAAGCTTCCGAAACTGACGAACAATGATTAGTAGGTTGTTTATTAACAAACAATAATTACACATTGACTGCTATCGTGTAAAGCATTATGGAAAGGCCAATCAAAATATTCTGTACTTGTTTTGTCATTTGGGCATTATCAAAACGTCAACTGTGAAATGTTACTCAATGTGTATGACTTATATTGAGGTTATCCGCCGACCGAGTCATTTTCCCTGAAGTTTAACATCTGTTACGTGCCTACTGCATATTTTGTTATTGTTTGCCACCGCTCGAGTGAACTTTGATTGGCAAACATTTCGGAAGGCAGCCTCATCGTGATCTGCATCAACATCTTCATCTACATCTTTATGCCATTGTTTGAGCTGTCGGGTCGCACAAACACCGCACACTTGCATATTCATTTGGTTATGTGTGTAGATTCATTTAGCGTTCATTCACCTCGCCGCCTGACTGACTGACTAACTAATACTACCCATACAGTCGCGTGTGCACGGGGCGTATGTGTAATCTGGGGGAGCACCACTTTTGCAAGCGCCTACTTCCCACAAAACCGAAACCACCTAGCAAGTGAACCACCCAAGCCAAGCCGCCAGTGTTGGCATGTCTTTGGATGTCTCATTGATTTTTCTTTGCCAACGGCCAGCTGCCCCACGCCAACCAACCGCACAAAGCACCACCCGCGTCACCACCACTGCAGTCGTCCACTCCACTCCACCAAAGTCAAAGGGACTTACCGGCGTTCTTTGGGAATATACCCTTTTTAACTCCGAGGCGTATGACAATCTCTTCTCGAGCCATCAAAACAACAGTCAATTTTTTAATAACGAGATGTTTACGAAACGTACTTTTTGACGTGACATAAACGCTAGAACACTTAAAATGTATTACATTAACGCGCCATATTAATTTTTGCGGATCTGAACAAAAATGATTTCTTGGCTTTATTTATGATTTCAATGAATTTGATCCTTGAACTTCACATACAGGAGAATGTGGAGCTGCATACAAAAATTGTATCTTGATTAAACCTTTTGCAGTTTATTTCAATTTATTTTATTAGTACATTAACTTCGAAAGTTAAAAGATTAGAATGGCATTTTTACAGTTATTAGCCAATGATTTTTGATGGCATACTAAAATTAATAATAGCCGCCTATGGTGTACTAAAAGCATAGTCCATGGGATTTTTCTTAAATTTCATTTCGGCTTCAAATCACTTTTCGGCAATCATTCGGATTTGTTAAACGCAAAAACTGATTAGGTTTGCCTATTATCCAAATGATACAAAATATAATAAAATGTTTATTATTGAACAATCACGCCCTATTACCGCTAAAAATAAATCATTATATTATTATCGTTTATCGCCGCTTGAATCAGGGTATTTCCCCCGACAACTTCTCTCAGCTTTTGCCCGCCTTTCTTTTTCAGTTAGTTTCGGCATTTGTTTTTGCATGCAATTCTTTGACCAAGCCCCTGTGCCCAGTACCACCCATTTTTCGCCTTTCGAGTGGGGAAACAACTAAAAATCGTTACCGAAATGTTTTTTGCTTATGTCTGTTCCGTTTACCACTCTTACGCTCTCGTACCTGTTCCGAGTTTGAATTCGTGTCCAAGTCCGCTTTTCCGTCTGTCTGTCCGTTCAACTGTCCGCTGTCCGCTGTCCGTTGTCCGTCGTCCGCTGGTCCGTGGCGGACATTGAACCCCTACTACTCTCCGCTGCCGCTGGGATCGGAGATTACCAGAAACCAAATAGAAACAATTTTCCTTATGTGTGCCATGTGCATTATAAACAATTTGCTGGATTTTATGGTCCATCGATGGGTGGCTGCTCCGTTGCCGCTGCTGCTGGGGATAAAGTGTGGAAAATGTGTTAATCATTGTCATTGATTGCGATTGTATAACATACCGCCTTGGACTTTCCCGCCGCAGGGCCGGGGGAAAATGATTAATATACTTTTCCTCTGCATTTCGATGCAACGTTTTGTCTGCTGTGTGTGTCCCCCTTTCTTCGGCAAAGCCATGACTTATTATTGTAAACAATCAAATTAAATCTCAAAGGTGCGACGCGCCAAGATATCGGATTGAATTGTCGCTCTTTGTTGCGTTGTATAAGCGGCGGAAATCATGACAATTCATTTTGTTTATGGCATTGTCTATCCATCTGACGATCATTATACGCTTGAATTCCTTTGCACAATGCCCGCATATCTACTGTTTACAACCTGAAGTTAACCTCATTCTGCAAGGAAAGTCGGCAAACAAATCAAGAATTTCCATATATTTATAACCATATATAATATACAGCGATGGGAATGTTTTTTTTTTGGCGTTGCCAAGTCAACATTTATGCAAATGATTGTAGAACATGCGGAAAGCGAGCCAAAGTCGTTATAAGTAATAATCAACAAAAATCTGCACCACCACAACCACCACCACCTCCCTAGTATTATCATGACCTATTGACAGAACCGAAAAGGAAATCAAACACATTTATCCGTAATGCCTGCGTCAATGTAATTCCTGTTGACACGGAAATCGGGCAGGAAAAGTGGAGAAAAACTTTTCGGCCCTCCGTGGAAGTGTTCCCCTGGCAACCACAAAATACAAGTATATACATATGTATGTACTTTATTGTATGGAAAGTACATGGACTCTTGATGGATACTACTGTACCTTAGAGTGCCTGATACGATGAATGAGGCTGTTCAGTATGCAATTCCCATCGATCGGGCGCCAATTGAAGGAGGAGGTTGTCCTCTCGTCGGGAGGAGCTCTGTGTGAATATATTAGAAAGTCCTTTCGCTTTCCACAAAGCCGCAAATTAATCAATACAAATTTATTAATTACATATTTAAAAGCGGCAGATCTGCAACTTTCGCTGCGATGAGTGTGTCAGCAATTCTGGTATGGTTTGACTTTGGCTTCAGTTGCTCTCTGGCTCTGAAATGCACAATTTGCGAAGCCAATCCCAGCTTACGTACGCATATACATAATAATAAAAATGCCAGCCATCACTATCGGCATCTACATGCGGCTTTTCCAAGCCAGCTTTTCCTTTCCTCTCGAGCACAGCACACTTTCCTCGGCAACTGCAACTGCAACCGCACACGGCTAATCGATAATTATTCATCGGGCTCAGGCCAACAATATCGATAATTGACAATCTATGGTTTGACTGCGCCGCACAAAAAAAACTCCCCCTTCCCAGCATTGTCCAATTATGAATTTTCATCAAATCCCGCACCGACCATTAATCACACCTCTAAAAAAGAAAAATGTAAGAAACGCCACCCGCTGCGGTTTTGATTTGGTGCCCTCCTGTGTCTTCCTGGTCATCATGTCTTCGGTGGAAGAGCCAATCCTCCATGCTCGCTGTCATCTGACACTTTTCACGACCGTGACTGACCAGGAAAACATATCAATTTAAATGCTATTGCCTTGATTGAGCGAGGGCAAGAGGGGAAAATGGGAAAAGCGCGTGGACCTGACACTCAAATTGTAGTTGAATCATGGGCAAAGGAAGACGCTTTTAATTGGGAGGCGCAGTAGGAGATTTCCTAAGCTTATCCATTGATGGTGGCTGAAATCGTTCAAACCGTGAGGAATGTAAATGAATAAAAGATATTACATTGCTGATCAGATCTCCCCGATTTAGTACGAAACATTTCGGTGAAGTGCCATTTCCAATTGTTTCAATAATGTTAAAACAATTAAGCAAGGCCTCCATTTTGGGATGAGTGTGAATTCCTTTCGGCCAATTATTATCATTCCTGCAACCACCTTTGTGGAATGCCCGACTGCGCCGATCCAACTGATTGAGATATATGTTGGCCGGCCACAGCTGATTGGATTTGAAAAGCTTTTGAGTGGAAAGCAACGGTAAACATACCGCGCTCGAGTGATCTGCGCCGCCACGCCTCCCTCCCCCTGGAAAAAGAGAGTAGCTCCTCCCCTTCCTCTTGGATCCGCAGGGAAAGTAGATTCTTCGACTTAGGTATTTGCCCGCCTCGGCTTGTGTTCCATTGTGTTTTGTTTGCTTTGGATTCGGATTTGGCTTTGTACGAAGCGGCAATTATAATGGAATCGACTAATCAACGTTTTTAGGTAAATCAAAAATGGGAGGGAGAGACAATCATAACAAAAGTAAAGTGGCAGCAACAATAGTAGAAAACCGCACACAATTTTCGTGCTTCAGTTGGATTTTCATTAGGTTTTTTTTTTATCCCCCTCCACTCCATTTTGCGGTTGCACGAAGCGGACGGGACACGTTTTAAATGAAACAAAAGGAAGCAGCCACGCAGCCACTGCAATGCGATGCAGTCGAGCAGCAAGCATAATGAGGCGAACAAACCCAAAACTCAGTAATAAATGGGCAGGAAAAATGTAGAAAATAGATCTAAACAGTAACACATCAAGTGTACTCGTCCGATAAACAATTACCCGGAGATTCGAATGGAGCCGAATCAACTGGAACCTACTCCAAACTCCGAACTCCAGCTCCAGCTGTAGCTCCATTTTCATTTCCATCTCCAGCTCTATGACCACGATGATGTACAGGTGCAGTGCAGCATAACGATCGGCTGGACAAGCTGAAGCTTTATGGACTAAACCATAAAGCTGAGGCATCGCGACTGACTGGCAGTAAATTGTG